ATTTGGGAATTTGGGGGTTTGGGGGTTTGGGGGTTTGGGGATTTGGGGATTCAGGAATTTAGGGATTTGGGAATTGATTTGGGAAATTAGGGGTTTGGGGATTTGGGGGTTTGGGGGTTTGGGGATTCAGGAATTTAGGGATTTGGGAATTGATTTGGGAAATTAGGGGTTTGGGGATTTGGGGGTTTGGGGATTTGGGGATTTGGGGATTAAGGAATTTGGGGATTAAGGAATTTGGGGATTTGGGAATTGGTTTGGGGATTTGGGGGTTTGGGGATTTGGGAGTTTGGGGGTTTGGGGGTTTGGGAATTTGGGGATTAAGGAATTTGGGGGTTAAGGAATTTGGGGGTTTGGGGATTTGGGAGTTTGGGGGTTTGGGGGTTTGGGGATTCGGGATTTGGGGATTTGGGAAACTGGGGATTTGGGGAAGCGCTTCCTGACCAGGCTCTGACATGACACTGCCCAAGGGAATGGGGCACAGCCATCCCTACTTGGCACTATCCAAGGGAATGGGGCACAGCCATCCCCACCTGGCACCACCCATGGGCACACCCATCCCCACCTGGCACCCCCACCCCACCCTGAGGTGTGCTGGGCACGGGCTGACCCAACCAGGGCCGGCACAGCCGAGCTGGTTTTGGCCTCCCAGTGTCCGTGCCCTCCTGGGTAACCCCTCTGTGCCATCCCTGGCGTGGCACATCCCCGATCCTCCCCCTCTGTTTGTGCCCGTCTCTGGTGACACAAAGGCCCCTCTGTGCCGCTGTGAGGGCACCGCCTGTGCGAATATTGCTCGATGGACTGGGCGAGGGCACAAAGCGCCGCTGTCCGTGCCAGCGCCGGGAGGGTGCCCGCATTCCCCATCCGTGACTGTGCCACTGTTCCCACCCCAATCCCATCCGTGACTGTCCCACTGTTCCCACCCCAATCCCATCCGTGACTGTGCCACGGTTCCTGTCCTAACCCCCAATCTGTGACTGTGTCACTGTTCTCACCCCAAAGCCCAATCTGTGACTGTGCCACTGTTCCCACCCCAAATCCCAATCCGTGACTGTTCCCACCTCAATCCCATCCATGCCTGTCCCACTGTTCCTGTCCCAAACCCCAATCCGTGACTGTTCCCACCCCTGTCCCATCCGTGACTGTGCCACTGTTCCCACCCCAAACCTCAATCTGTGACTGTCCCACTGTTCTTGTCCCAATGCCATTCTGTGATTGTCCCACTGTTCCTGTCCCAAACCCCAATCCGTGACTGTTCCCACCCTAATCCCGATCCATGACTGTGCCACTGTTCTTGTCCCAATCCCATTCTGTGCCTGTCCCACTGTTCCTGTCCCAGCCCTGATCTGTGACTGTTGCTGTTCCAACCCCGATCCAACCCCGGTCCAACCGTTCCCACCCCAATCCCATCCATGCCTGTCCCACTGTTCTTTCCCAACCTCGTTCCATGACTGTTCCCATCCCAACCCTGATCCGTGCCTGTCCCACTGTTCTTTCCCAACCCCGTTCCATGACTGTTCCCATCCCAACCCTGATCTGTGCCTGTCCCACTGTTCTTGTCCCAGTCCCATTCTGTGACTGTGCCACTGTTCCCATCCCAAACCAAAATCCGTGACTGTTCCCACTGTTCCTGTCCCAACCCTGTTCCCATCCCAACCCTGATCTGTGACTGTCCCACTGTTCCCATCCCAACCCTGATCCGTGCCTGTCCCACTGCTTCTGCCCCAAACCCCAATACATGACGGTTCCCATCCCAAACAAAAATCCGTCACTGTCCCACTGTTCCTGTCCCAACCCCAGTCTGTGACTGTTCCCATCCTAAACCCTGATCCATGACTGCTCCCATCCCAAATGGATCAGGAACAGAACGGGAATGGAGCAGGGATGGAGCAGAGATGGAGCAGGGATGGAGAAGGGATGGACCATGGATGGAGCAGGGATGGAGCAGGGATGGAGCAGGGATGGAGCAGGGATGGATCAGCAATGGAACAGGGATGGATCAGCAATGGAGCAGGGATGGAGCAGGGAACAAATGGAGCATCCAGCGGCTCCCCAGGAGCTGCTGAGAGCAAAATCGTGTCCGGGAGTGCAGGTGTGAACGCGGATGTCTCACCCCGACCTGTCGGAGCCGCTTTTAGCAGCTTTTTCCTGGGAATTGCCTCATGGACAGGCTCCAGCGGTGTCACCAGCAGTGAGGTGACACCTTTGTCACCACCCCACCAGCGCAGGGTTGTGCCGTTGGAAAGTTACCGCCTTGGGAAAGCCCAAAGTGGGGGGAAAATGGGTTTTTGGTTGAAATCCAGGCATTTCTGTCTTCAGGGTGCAGGGAATGGTGACACTTCCCTGGGGACAACTGGACCCTGCTGGGACTGTCCCCACCAGGCGTGGGTGATGCTGGCTGGGATTTATCCCGGGATAAACCCGGGTGCTGGAGCTGCCCTGGGCTCCTTCCCCCATCCCGCGGCATTACACAAAATGGCATTTCTATAATAGACTCTTTGACCATTTTTGATATTTCTGTCCACGTGTTAATAAAAGAAAATGAATCGCAGCCTTGTTTTGTGATCTTGTTTTCAGTGGAGCGCGGCAGCTCCGGTCCCTGTGCAATGGGGGACCGCGGGGACAGTGGGTGACAGGGAGGTGGCAGCTCATTAACCCCTCATCAGCAGCGCGATGACAATTAAAAGGTCACGGGAAGGACAATAAATGCGAGTCGCGTTTGTCCTGCAGCATTTTCCCGGGAAAATCTCCGCTATTCCCAAGTTATTTCAGGGGTAGGGAGAGGCTTCCCTGGAGCTGCGGGTCCTGGGAAATGTCCCTGGCCCTGTCCTGTCCCTGTCCCATCCCTGTCCCATCCCTGTCCCCATCCCTGTCCCTGTCCCTGTCCCTGTCCCTG